GGGAAGGGCATGTCCATATTCAAGGGACAGAGCTAGAACACAACCAAGGCACGAAATACAGTATTTTGCACAATGCAGCTGAGGACTGCAACTGGCATTTACAAAGAATGAAGCAAACATGCTAAGGATGAATACTGTTAATGCCACGCTTAGTATTTGAAGCAAGTCAGCCCAGAACAATTCCCACAATACACAGTGGCTGCATTTGGATGCAGAGCTAATGACTACCATATTTAAGTGCAACCTTGCCAAAACTGGTACTGTCCAGATGAGTTGGACTACAACTTCCATTGGCCATGCTGGTTGGGCATAATGGAAATTATAGTCCTCGCCACGGCCCCGGTTCCAAGGGAGAGGCAAGCGCGGGGCAGTTCCCCCGGCCAGGAGAAGGCCGTGGCTGGCTGAGTGGGGCGCCTCCGCCTCTCCCCACCGCGGCCGCTCGATGGTGGCGGCTTGCCCATAGAAGGCCACGGCTGCCCCCGGGCTCGGCAAGGCAGCAGTGGCTTGGCTCGCGGCTAGGGGACGTGGCTTGCATACTTAAAAATGGATTGTAAAAGTTAGATTTTTCTTACCTTCAATACTTTTATAGTGTCTTCGTCTCTCTCTCTCTTCCACCCTCCTGTATTCTGTTTTCCACTCTGTATTCCCACTCTGTATATGCATGCAATGGGGGGAGGGGTGGGGGAGCCGGCGCACGCGCAGTTGAGCTGTTACTATTTGGTGTGTGTGCCGGCTCTGCTCAGTTTTAGAGAATGCCTGCACCAGCTCAGAGCTTTTTGACTCGCTTGGAGATCATTTTCTGAGGAGGACTGGATAAATGAGCATGGCGGGCCATAGTTTGAGGATCCATGCTGAAGACGAAGCCCCACAAGCAAAGATGAATTCTCTGCCCCCTGAAAATTATGCCAATTGCGGCCTTGACTTATGCAGACTGGATTTGCTGCAATCACGCTTCTATTTTACTGTCTTGCCTAGTCTGCTGTCTTTCATGGGGAACACGAAGGCAGCGTGGACACCCCCTCCCCGCTGGCCTACTAGAAATCATATTCATACAACAATCCTGGGATTTGGCAGCCTCACTTTCAAGATCATCCATGAGGGCTAGCAGTGTGTCTTTTTGTTTAAAAACAAGGAAGCAACCAAGCGGACATTCATGGAGAGCTCAGTTCTGAGCTCAGAGTAACATTCCGCTGGGAGCGGTTTATGGCAAGCACAGCCAGAGCAGAAAAGGACCAGAGAACGCAGCCGCTTTTCGGATCTGCAATGCTGGAAAATTTGTTCCATTGAAGATCAAAAGATTTTGACACCTTTCTGACACAATGTCTGAAAGTGGACTAGTCACGGATGGGAGGTGGTGTCTGCAAAAGTTCTCAAAATATTTTGGAGCTGACTCATTAGGTTCCAGTGTTGTTGTTTTGTTGCATTTCCCTCCGCGCAGTCTCCACAAGTACAAGCCAGTTTCATTTTATATTTAAAAAGAGAAGCATGAAAGCAGCAGCTTGCTGAACAGGCCTGGGGTCCATCAGCCCTTCGTATTGCACAAATGAAGGCAATACGATTTGCATTAAATTTGTGCACGTGGGTTTGTGCTGTTTTTCCTATTTTGTCCCATTCCCAGTGCTGTTACGCAGCCCGGGCCACTCATGGCGTTCCCTTGGGAAATACGCCCGGTCTCAATGGGACTGCAAAAAGTAGCCATCCCCTAAAGTGCTTCCAGAGAGAAAGGCCCACCTGGAATTTTCTAACATTGTTCGTTTCCAATGTGTGTTGTGTCAGGCTCCACGCTGCAATGTATGCAAACTTCCGGCTCTGTTTCACAACTTGTGCACATTTGCCCAGGTTTTTTTAATGTGTGAATTGTGACCTGTTTTTAAAAACACTGGTCTGTGTGCAGCCTCATGTGTGTCAGGTTGTGTTGGCGCCTGCACAGCGCTGACAGAATGGAATCTGTGAGGCTAAGTTAGGAAAGCTCTGATTTTAATCCTTCTTCACTCATCCCCAGCCCACCTCAGCTCTTGCGTCTCTTGCCTTCTAGTGGGCAAAGGGCGCCTTTACACCCTAATCCAATAGGTCCTGATCCAGTCCTCACTGCTGCTTCCTGACCCGCATGCAGGTTTCTCAAGAGACAAATAAGATGGTCTGGTACTCCTGTCTCTTTAAGAACGTGCCACAATTGGTTGTGATCCACACAATCAAAGGCTTTAGCATAGTCAATGAAGCAGAAGTAGATGTTTTTCTGGAACTCCCTAGCTTTCTCCATGATCCAGCGTATGTTGGCAACTTGATCTCTAGTTCCTCTGCCTCTTCGAAATCCTGCCTGTACTTCTGGTGGTTCTTGGTCCACATACTACTGGAGCCTGGCTTGAAGGATTCTGAGCATCACTTTGCTAGCATGTGAAATGAGTGCAATGGTGCGGTAGTTCGAACACTCTTTGGCATTGCCCTTGGGATCGGAATGTAAACTGACCTTTCCAATCTTGTGGCCACGGTTGCGTTTCCAAATTTGCTGGCATATTGAGTGTAGCACTTTTACAGCATGGTCTTTTAAGATTTTGAATAGCTCGGCTGTAATACCGTCGCCTCCACTAGCTTCGTTGTTGCTCAGACTTCCTAAGGCCCATTTGACTTCACATTCCAGGATATCTGGCTCGAGGTCAGTGACCACCTCATCGTGGTTATCAGGGACGTTAAGCTCTTTCTTGTATAGTTCCTCTGTGTAATCTTGCCACCGCTTCTTAATCTCTTCTGCCTCTGTTAGGTCCCTGCCATTTTGGTCCTTTATCATGCCCATCTTTGCTTGCTTGCTCATATCTCCAGTTTTCTTGAAGAGATCTCTGGTCCTCCCTATTCTGTTGTTTTCTTCTATTTCTTTGCACTGTTCATTTAAGAAGGCCTTCTTATCTCTTCCAGCTATTCTCTGGAATTCTGCATTCAATTGGGTGTATCTTTCTCTTCCTCCCTTGCCTTTCGCTTCCCTTCTTTCCTCAGCTATTTGCAAAGCTTCCTCAGACAGCCACTTGGCTTTCTTGCATTTCTTTTTCTTTGGCATGGTTTTAGTTGCTGCCTCTTGTACAATGTTGCGAACCTCCGTCCATAGTCCTTCAGGCACTCTGTCTATCAGATCTAATTCCTTAAATCTATTTGTCACCTCTACTGTATATTCATCAGGGATATGATTTAGGTCATTCCTGAGTGGCCTGGATACTTGCAAAGGAGCCCCCCTCCCCAGCCGCTTCCCACACACAGGCTGTCCCAAAGTGCAGGTTATAGCCTGGCCTGACCCAGGTAAGGCCATGGTCACACGGGGCAGCAGGTGTGCTGACGAACACCTGGAGGCGAAATGCCAGGCTGGTGCTGCGGCTCAGGCAAGCGAGCAGCGCCACCTGCTGGGCTGGCCGGGAAGGACGGGCTCCCGAGGGCCGGGTGCTTGCCCTCTGGTTGCGGAAGCAGCATCCCCACAGAGGCGCAGGGGGGCCGGAGGGGTGGAGCGGAAGCCGTGCAAACAGGAGCAGGCGCGCGGGATGTGCTGAGGACAGCAGCCAGTGTGGAGGCTTGATATGAGGAGTCCACTGGGGGTCCGCAACAAAATGTTGCAGCATGTACCCACTCATAACGGCTGCTGCTGTTCAAGCCACTGCCTCCCCGCAGGGCCCCACGGTCTCCCCCTTCAGCCCTTTTTCTCTTTGGCTGCTGCTCTTTTGCCCAAGGAGACAACGTGTGTTTGCGGGGCTGTGTTCGTGTTCCAGCTTTTGCCCTGTTTGCTTGCACTTTTCCTTGCATCTCTGGACCTGTTGCGCCATTAACGGGCCTCAGGATCGCCCCCGATCATCTTCCCTCCTGTTGCTTAATCTGGCTCTCTCCGTGTGCCCCCCCCCCACTGAGTTTGCAGTTGGCAGTGCCCCCCCTCCCCCAAGGATCTCTTGGACAGGTGGGTCTTGAGAAATGTAACCCAGCAAGGCGGATCCCGTGAGACCCTGTGCATATTTGGCCTTGGGCACCCGAGCAACATGGAGCCAGTCCACGCGGAACCAGTGCAGCGACCCGACTCTTCCCCGACCCCACAAGGCGCATCTCCAGGACGAACAAGGCAGAGACCTTTCCTTGCAGAGCCCGAACCCACGGGGGAAACGTGACAGCCCTCGCTTGGAGCACTGGGTCTGGACACCATCTCAGGCCCTGGCACATGGTGCTTGAAGCCCGGAGGCCATCCATCCCATAATAGCAGATGCTGAGAGGAACACTGAGGGCACGCCCCAGTTGGGGGCTTTCGGGTGCCTGGTTGGCCTCTCCGGGAAACACAGGGGTAGACTGGGCGAGTGGGCCCCCTTCCTTGCTTCGCCCCCCCCCCCAGCAGTGGACTGTGGGCATTATGCAAAGGCAGGGCAGGCGGCTCCTGAATTTGCCCTGCCTGGATCAGGATTCTTATGGCCGGGAGCGAGAGCTGGCGCTGCGGATCCCATGCGCCTCTGGGTGGGCGCTGCTTAGTGCAGATGCTTGTGCCTTTCCTGTGATTCTCCAAACCAGGGGTCCTCGAACTTTTTAAACAGGGGGCCAGTTCACTGTCCCTCAGACTGTTTGGAGGGGCGGACTATAGCTCGAAAAAAATGTGAACGGATTCCTATGCACACTGCACATATCTTATTTGTAGTGCAAAAAAGGAAAAACAATACAATATTTAAAATGAAGAACCATTTTAATCAACATAAACTTATTCCTATTTCAATGGGAAGTGTGGGCCTGCTTTTGGCTAGTGAGACGGTCGATGTCCGGTTCCATATTCGCTCCTCCCTTCTGCATTCAGAGCCAACACGTGTGTGCGATGGGGGGAAGAGCCGGCGTGTGCGCAATTCCCGCTGGCCAGCCCAGCCCAGCAGCAGGAGCTGGCAGAGGGAGCCGGCGCACAGGCCGCTGAAGGGAGCGGTGACACTTTGGTGCGCGCAGCGGCTCTCTGCTAGTCTCCGAAACCGGAAGAGTTTCAGCGTCTCTCCGAACGAGCCCAGCACCTCCGAGGCAGGGTAGGCCAATGGCCTTGGCGGGCCGCACCTGGCCCGTGGGCCGCCGTTTGAGGACCCCCGCTGCAGCTGCGCCAGGGCCGCCGCTGCTCCAGTCGGCTGGCTGAAAGGCGCAGGCGCCGCAGCCCCGTGCGGGTGGCGTGGGCCCGGCCGGGCAACGCCGCAGACGCCCTTCCGCGCCTCCGCCCGCGCGGGCGCCCTCGCCGCCCGCCGCCGCCCGCGGGCGGCTCTGCTGCGAGAGGCGCCCG